GGGGGGTAGACTGGGGGTAAGGGGAGGGCGTGGGAGGGGGGAGAATAGGGGAACCCATGGCTGATATGTAGAACTGAATGGTATTGTAAAATAAAATAAAATAAAATAAAATAAAAAATAAATAAATAAACCTCCCTTTTAACTACAAAAAAAATTTATATTAAAGCAGTGATGGTTTAAATGAGAATGCCCGTCGCCCCACCCCCCTGCCACGTTCCCCCACCTGCCCCAGGCTCGTATATTTGAATACTTGGTCTTCAGTTAGTAGAACTGTTTGGGAGGGACTAGGAGGTGTGGCTTTCTTGGAGGAGGTGTGTCACTAGAAGTGGGCTTTGAGGTTTCAAAAGTCCAGGCTGTTCCCAGTTAGCGCTCTCTGCCTAGTGCCTGTGGATCAAGATGTAAGCTCTCAGCTATTGTACCATACCTGCCTGCTTACTGCCATGCCCCCCACCATGACAGTCATGGACTCACCCTCTGGACCTGTAAACCCTAAATAAACATTCTTCTGTAAGTTGTATTAATCATGGTATCTCATCATAGCAATAGAAAATTTACTAAGGTAAAAGGATACTAAAGAGTGAAAAAATGAGGGGCTATTTCAAATATATGATAAAGTTCTGGTATCTAGAAAATGTAAAGAACTCCTACAGCTTAACAAGAAGCTAACTCAAACACTATGTGGTGGCACACAACTTTAATCCCAAAATTTGGGAGGCAGAGGCAGATTGATTTCTGATTTTGGGGCCAGCCAGTTCCAGGATAGCCAGCTCTACATAGAGAAACCCTGTCTCAGAAAACAAACAAAATAACAACAAATTGTGTAGGACTTGAGTAGCCATTTATGCAAAGCCAGTATATGAAACACATGGGAAATTGCTCAGCATCATTGATCCTAGGAAATAAAAGTCAAAGCTAAATGATGTACTATGCTCCTACCCATTCTTAGAATTTTAACAGATAGGAGTACAATAACAAAATGCTGGTGGGAACCTACATTGGAACCCTCAAACATTGCTGATGGGAGTATAAATATGTAGCTGCTTTGGAAAACAATTGGGAAAGCCTGGAACAGAAGGCAGTATATTGTATTATTTCTTTTTAGGGATTATCCCGAGTAGACATTCATAGAAACAAAAAGCAGGTGTTAGCTGCCAGGGCTTAGGGAAGAGGGGAGAATGGCAGGAGGGATGTGTGGGACAGCTTACTAGAGCCTAGGCTTCCCTTGTAGACTGGTGGAAGCCTTCTGTGATTTTTGGAACTTGGTAGTGTGATGGTTATTATTCGGCCTTATTAATGTACCACTGAATGGTTCAGATTATACATGCTTAGTGAACTTTACCAAACACAGAAATAAAACCTGCCAGCGAGTATTTGCAGGTGGTCAGAGGCAGAGTTAGACAGACATTTCAAACTTAGGGAGTCAAAGACAGAACAGTGTGAATTTTAAAAAACATGGTGATTGCAACTGATTTAAACCTATCAAACATGCTGAAATCCGTAAATTTAAAACAGTACTGTTTGGAGCAGGTAAAAGCACCTGCTGCCAAGCTTGCTGACCTGAGTTCAGTCCAAGGGAACCACATGGAAGGAGAGACCAACTCCAGTAAGTTGTCCTCTGATCTCCATACCTGTGCTACGGCTTGTGCACATGCCTACACGTACAAATAAATAAATGGAATGGAAGGTGTGTTGGGGGCTGAGTTAAGAGCACCTATTGCTCTTGCAGAGGAAAGGGTTCAATTCCCAGCACCCACATGGTGGCTCACAACTGTCTGTAACTCCAGTTCCAGGGGAGCTGATGTCCTCTTCTGCTCTGTATGGGCACCAAGCATGCACATGGTGCACATATATACATGTTGATAAAACACACATAAAATAAATTGAATAAATCTAATAAAAATTTTTAATAGAAAAATGTATTTAAAAAATATGGTTCTGCTTAACTAGCTATGTAACAAGTCCCTTGAGTCAGGGGAAATAACGCATTGTTGGCTGCTTCTGTTGTAGGTTTTTCTGGGATCAGCTAAGCAATTGCACGTTGGCCCTTCAAACAGTGCCCGAGACTCGTCGTTTCCCAGTGTTCTTACTCTGATTGCTTGTTGCTGGTGCTGACCCAGCAGAGACTGCTGCTTTGGAACTCCTGCTTGGGACATCTCTGTTTTGGGATTTCCTCACAGCTTAGCAGCAGGTTCTGAGAGCAGAGTCAGGCAGAACCCACATCCATTTCTGTTGTAGTCTGAGAAGCCACAGAGCATCACTTTCACTGCCCTCTGTTGGTGAATTATTAACCAAGCCTGCCTTTGCACCTCCCCCACCCCACCCCCTCTTCCATAACCCCTGGCAGCCACTGTCTATTCACTGTTTCTATGACTTTGTCTATTCTGGATAATCCTCACAAAAGAAATCATACACAATCACAGAAGGGCACACAGAATTCGTGCTTGATAGGGAGCAGTACGTGTCTAGAAGAGTATTTGGCACGTCTGCATAGTTAGAGTCAGTATTACAAAATGCTCTCAGCCTTATTTTTTGTGAGGGTGGAGGCTAGAACAACTGATATCCCCACCCCCAATGTATGGCCAGGACTGTGTAATGCACTCAGGCCTATTTTTGTGGAGGGGAACTAAAACAACTGATATCCACCCCCCCCCCCCCCCCCCCCCCCCCCGTACAGTCAGGACTGTGTAACGAATGCACTCAGCCCTATTTTTGTGGAGGTGGGGGCTAGAACAACTGATGTCCTGCCTCCCCATGTACAGTCAGGACTGTGGACTGCACCCAGCCCTATTTTTGTGGAGGTGGGGGCTAGAACAACTGATTACCCCATGTGCAGTCAGTATCGTGTACTGCACTCCGCCCTTTTTTTCTGTGGAGGGAGGGCCTGAGCAACTGAAATTCTTTCCCCATTGCAACCCTCTCTAAGACCCACCATAGTGTCAGCACTAAGACCGGGATCTTATCATTTTAACCAGATCTTAAAATGGGTAAGATATCTTTGATTCAGCCTTAAAGTTCTAACCCTCCTTCAGCTTTGTTCTAGAAACCAGAGTACTAATGTTATCTGCTTCCTATTCTCTGTCAGGATCTACTGGGATGACAGGCACAGGATAATCTCTCTGGATAGTTTCTTTCAAAAAAGCAGACAGCAGGAGGTACCAACCAGCAGTCACAGACAGTTCTGTAACAAATTGGGAATCTAGCTGGGTATGGTCGCTGATTCCTTGATCGGCGGTCATTCCTGATGCTGGGATTGTTTCTGTGCGGGTTTTCAGTTCTCCTCTTTGGGTTCATGTTTTCACATCTCCTTCCTTTCCAGAAAATGCAGACTGTTCGCACCTAAGTCAGAGTTGCCGCTGGCTCCTTTTCTCCAGCACCTTCTTTACGTTTTTTGTTTTGTTTTGTTTTGTTTTTCTCCTGTTTAAATTCAGTCTAGGCTGTTCTTCATCATGTATTAATAGTTAGGCTTTGGTGTTGCTATGATCAGATATCTAAGGTAAACAAGAGAGGGAAGATTTATTTGGTTTACTGTTCAGAGAGTTCAGTCCACCTTAGCCTGTGGTTCTTGGGCCCATGGTGAAATGGAATGTCTTGGGAATGGGTACAAATATGTGACAAAGGAGATTTTTACCCTCATGGTGCACAAGAAGCAAAGAAGATTCCACGAAAGGACTTTGACAAGGCACAGCCCAGGGTCATGCCCCTGCTGACCTATTTCCTCCAGTTAAGAAAGCTTATGGAAAATCCCAGTGGCATTCAAGAAATAAGTACCATATATGACACTTGAAAGTGCCAATTGAGTCTGATGATTCTCTTTTCAAAATATTAAAGGTTGCTTGTGTGTGATCCTAGCACTTGGGAGTTGGAGTCCGGAGGATCAAGAGATCAAGGCCAGTCTGGGCTGTGTGATACTCTGTCTCACAAGACGATAATGACAACAAAACCAGCCAGGACCAGCCAGATGGTCCTGGTAAAGATGCTTGTTGTAAAGAAAAAACAAACAAACAAACAAACCAAAACAAACAAGATAGAAAAAAAGAAAAGAAAAAAAAGATGCTTGTTGTGCCAGCCTGGTGAGCCGAGTTTGAGCCCTTGAACCTATATAAAGGTGGAGGGAGAGAACTGACTCCCCAGAGTTGTACTCTAGATCGCCACGTGTGTTCCATGGCCTTGCACCCTTGCCCACCACTAAAAAAAATGCTACTAATAAAGATCAGGTCTGAGAGAGAGCCCAGTGAGTAAAAGCACAGCCAAGTCTGATGGTCTGAGTTTGATCCCCAGATCCTACATAGTAGAAGTAGAAAAATGGTCCACAAGTTGTCCTCTGACCCTTATGCCCTTACACATGTGTGTACACACATACACACTAAATGAGTAAACAAATGTAATTTAAACATAAAATCTTAAAAAATTAACAACAAAGAAATAGTTAAGAGTAATTTTTCTGCATTCTGGGTTACTGTTTTGAGGTGTGGGGCTTTGTTTTGGTTTTGGTTTTTGAGTCAGTCTCACTGTGTGTCCCAGGCTGGCCTGGAACTTGTAGCAGTCTTCCTGCTTCAGCCTTTTTTGTGTGGGGGGGAAATGGGGGAGAGCAGGAGTCGAGACAAGATTTTTCTATGTAGAGCAGGCTGGCCTTGAACTGAACTCAGATCTGCCTGCCTCTGCCTCCTGTATGCTGGGATTAAAGGCATGCACCACCATGCCCAGCTCTGCTTCAGTCTTTAAAGTTCTGGTGCAGAACTGGTTTAAACATCCAGAAAAGTGTTTGTAGTAGATTATTTTTCCTGACAGTAAGGTAATTTTTGTTTGAATACATTTGTAATAAAATATTTTTGTTCTGTATTTATTTAATTGTTCTGTATTGAGGTAGTCTGGCTTTGTATCTTAGACTGGCCTGTAGTCTGTGATCCTTACTAACTTGCAGAGTGCTGGGACTACAAGTGTGAGCCAGCATGCTTCCACATTCCTTTAATGTATTGATGTAATGTCTTCTCCTCCTTTAGAGTTGTCTGTGTGGGAAGTTTGTCCTCCGTCCACTGCGACCATGCCGCAGATACTCCACTTCAAGCAGTTCTGGGTATGTAGCTTGTCTCCCTGGAGCCAGGTTCTTTACTGTGTGCTAATAATAGGGGTGTGTGTATGTGTTACTTTGAATATGGACATGGCTATATAAACTTAACTTTTATTAAGGAAACAGTATTCTGATCACGCCCGTGGTTTCAGTTACCCATGGTTTCAGTTACCCATGGTCATCAGAGGAAAGCTGAGTGCACTTCAGTAAGATAGGTCTTCCTTCCTTCCTTCCTTCCTTCCTTCCTTCCTTCCTTCCTTCCTTCCTTCCTTCCTTCCTTCCTTCCTTC